TGTACTATAGTAACAGGATATCCAGTGGTTTGAAAGGTGAAAGCATGCCTGAACTAAAATAGGGGGTTACAGTCTGTAAACTAGATCATCTTTTACTGGGATTTCTTTGTGATTATAGTGATGCTTAGAACTAGTATGTCACAAATAATTGTTATATCACACAACCGTTATCTCACAAATGAGAATCATCCTTTAACACTATCCTTTTCCTTCATATTTTCTCTCTATATTTGGTAAGTATATAAATGCCATAGAAAGGTACAATTAATTAGATGGAAAGCAAATTAGCCTCAGGTGATTCTTAACTTAAAAAATCATTTGCTCAAATGTTTCACTTAAAAACCACAGGTCAGAATCTTAACTGATGTAAACTGACACAGCTCTGCTGTCTTCAGTGCAGTCAGACCAATTTATGCCACATCTGCTACTGCTGAAGCCAATGTTTCACCCTGAATTTTATATTAGATAATGAAACACAACATGTTTTCTACCAGCAGTAGCACTGGTCCTTCAAGTAACGTGTTCCTTCAGAGTCATTCCGTTAGAAAAAAAAAACGCTTTTCCATCACTATATGCATGGGTATAATATATACAGACTGACAAAAAAGACAGATGCATAAATGTATCAGAACAGGATGTCCATTACTTAGAAAATGCACTCTGGAGCTCTTCTAATGTGAAGTACAGAAGGGATAAAAAAAGTGGAAAGTCTAATTCAGCAAAATTTTATGAGTTGAACCAAAGATTTTTAAAATACACAGAGTCCGGAAAAAGCAAATATGTTACAGGTGGTAGCATTATATAACTTCATATGCAATAACTTAATGTTTTATGTACATCATAAATCTGAACTAAATTTAGAGCTTCTTTATTGATTACGAATGAGAAATAACCTGCAAGTAAAGTGATCCCAGATCTTTTAAGTTCATCCAGTTAAAAATGAGTTTTAATCTGTCGGACAATGACAAGAAATTTGGAATTAGGAGACAATAAAAGAAGCCGGGTTAGTTCTTCAGACAGCATCTATTAATTTACCTCTGTTGAAGAAACCCGTAATGCATTCCGGCTGAGGATCTGGCAAACGATTTTGTACAGCTCTTGTAATGTCTGTCTGAGTGTTAAAAAAAAAGGTTCTATAGGGCATTCTCTATACCTCCACCTGTACGTAAGGGTTAAGTAAATGGAAAATCCTGTTCTTTCCTAAACAGGACTGTTCCCTGCTGGTTCACACAAACTACCCCAAAGGGAGCCCTGGGGAAAGGGAGCAGGGCTCCTTCCCCCTGCTCAGGCATGCACAGGCAGGTGCATTCTGCATCCTGTTGTGATTTTCTAGTGGGTTTAATGTACCTCTGTGTCTCCCTGCAGTTGGATTTGGTCCTTTCAAGCACAGATCTGACTTGTGTAATTTTGCAACCGTTAAGTACGACATTCCTACACATCCAATCCTGTTTCCTCAGAAGTCAGTGGGAGCAGAACATATCAGTACTAATTACTTTCTTGTTTTGTCTGGTAATTTGTTTCTTGTATTATATTGTGTTACGTGGAGACAATGCCACGTGTTGCCTAACCCCGGATCCCTGGAGTTGGTGTAGGTGTCTGTGTTAGGTCATCTCACCTAAACATACAATATAGACGTCTGCATATGAGCCAGTTTGCCCCATTCAGCAAAGGTACAAATATAGCCTCTCCAATGGATGATCTCATGCTTTAAATTAGGCTCTCCTCAGGTATTTTCTGCGTATACACATGCTACATTCTCTCTAAATACGTTCTTTCCTGCTTACTCATGGCTTACGTGCTTGAGTCTCTTCAAACATTAACTTTATTCGTCTCTCTAAATACTGTGGTTATTCACTTACACATCTGGAAAGGATTTAAGCAAAGATTAGTCTGCTTTACTCCTTAGACTGCGGTGTAATTCACAACATATTAGGTTGTATACATTTGCGCAGATCATTTTTAATCAGATGCACAGCATGCTGTTCATATCCTTTTACCTTTTTATTATTATTTCTGATACTGTACTTCATCAAACTCAATTAGACCTGCCTAGTTTCATCACTAGAAATGGTTTTCTTCAAGTACGGAATGGGGCTGCGATACGCTGCTTCGTATCGAAGAGATATTCAACAGATATAACAATTCATATTCCCATTACTTTATGATTGTCACACAAAGTAATTTATTTCCTTTCCCCAATCATAAAAACTGTACCATATTCCAGCCTCCTGCAGCCCACTCCAAATGCTTCCAGTGTCTCTTCTCTCTCTCGCCACTTGTCTCTTTAAATTTCACTTCTCCATCCTCTTCAGTTTGGCACACACTAATTTCCTTCCCTCCACCGGACTCAGGCAGGTGGGTTTTATTCAGAGCTCACATCAACAAGCAATCTTATCAGACAGTAGGTACATTCCCTGACTATTCCCCTAATCAGTTCACATTTACCTCTCTAAGTGCTCGAAAAATAAATAAGCAGATGGTGAAGTCAGTTAATTTTCCACAAGTGTTGCGGCAGAAAATGAATCTTCAGGAAATGTTGTAGATGGCAATTTTTTTAACTCAAAATCAACCGCTTGCCTTCACTTACACTTTTTACCTTTTTTAGTATGCTAGGGAGGTGTAAACCGTACGTGACACAGGAGCAAAGGTCCTTTGACACGTCCAGCGCTGCTGTCTGGCATGACCGTGTAAACCATCTGGCTCCCACAGATGCAGGGTGCAGGGGTGCAGCACCTAACAGGGTATTTCTCCCGCCCGGTTCACGGTGCCTCTGATGGCTACTGTCAGCCAAGCACCCTCCTTGTCCCCAGCTCCGGGAGGAGATGCACATTTGAAATTCCTGGCTGGGTGGTATGGGAAAGGAAGGAGCAGGCTCTGGCTGAGAGACAGAGGCAGACCAGATTATTTTTCATTGCAAATCTAATAAATTCATTTATTCATCTGATTTTCACTTTTGCAAGGGACAGATCCAGGCTGACTGTCAGATTTGTCAAAGTCTGAGGAGAGGTGGGTACCGCTTGCCTCCTGCCTGCCCCACTTTCTGGCCCACTTTCTCCTCCTGCCTGCCCCACTTTCTTTTGCATGGGCAGACGTGGGCTGAGAAGGCAGTCACCCCTCCTGCATGACGGTCCAGAGGATACAGAACCTTGTGCCACCGGAAGGGCAGGTGAGGATGGTTTCACTCTAGCTTAAGTATGAAAAGGAAATCAAAAGCTAACAGTGTCTGAGGCAGTTCAGATAAACATACTCTTGACTTCCCTGGTTTGCAAAGATGAAGCCAAGGGTCAAGAGAATGATTCAGGCACACAACGACTATCAACCTTACTGCATAAATGACCAAACCCACAGCAATTTAGATTTTGTTGATAGTTAGGGACTGCTAAAAAGAAGCTGAAACAAACATCCTCTTCCAGCTCCAGGGCCAAACACATCATTGACTCAAGTGTCTCAAAATCCAGAATGTTAAACCAAGGTTGGATCTGGCCTCTCATCTCTGATCATCCTTTCTATAAATCCTTGATAAAGTGTGTGTTAGTTTTATGGTACAGTCATAAAACAGCCAAATGCAGAAGTAAATGACCTCATACCAGCTATCTCTCTGCAGATAGATTCACTTGGCAGATAGCCAAGAATTGATTGACACACATCTTACGGAACTAGAGTTAATTAATATGTCTACCAATTCCCAAATGGATCTCAGGAAGCAGAGAATCTGTTTAATGCAGTAAGCAATGACATACTGTGTGTGGTCAAGAGACAATCACTAATTGCCAAGAATGCATTCAGGAATAAAACATTAAAGATGAAAAAAAAAAAACAAAAAACAACAAACCCTTCTACTTTGCAGCTCCTTTATCCCTTCAAAACCTTATCCTTAGAACATTTTAAAGACTCATGTTTCAAATATCAAAAGACTTTTTATAGGGAAAAATGGTTCCCAGACTATAAAGACAACACTCAGAAGATCTGTTAATTTTTCTACAGGACAAAATTCTGATTTTTAAATACCTGAGTCCTCATTCATTTAACAATATGCCTTTATTTTCAGGGAAATCTGTAAACCTGAACTGCAAAACCACAGAGTAACTTGAAAGAGCTGTTCTTCAGAGATCACAGAAGCTACAAGTAACACAACTATGGATCCACCAGTAAAACATACCTATAAATTAAGTAACTGACTGCTGAAAACACATCAAGAGCCTGGTTGCTAAACTGCAAAAGTCCATGGAGTGATACTCAGATAAGCCAGACTGAAACTGAAGTGGACTAATTTATATTACATACTCATCTTAAACCAGCATAGTCCCATTGCTTTCCGTGAGCGATACTGTTTTTCACCAGGGAAGACCATGCTTCTCTATTCAGTTATGACGATCGTTGACAAAACAGTACAAAAGCTACTGCAAACTTTCTGCAGCACTAAGCAAAAATCAGCAAACTACAGATTAGAAAAAATGGCGGGGAAGAGCGAGGTCAAAATTATTTATTTTTCACTAAAAAGTAAAGAAACAAAACCGAGGTCACGTGTGAAAAACTGTCAGTGTGTTAGGATAAATCTAAGAAGTGGGATTTATGAACGTGTGACACTATTTTAATTCCCAGTTGGGAGGAAGCTGCCAGACTGTAGGGACTGGAGACTAAAGGACAGAGTTGGCTCCAGAATAAACACACAGGCTGCACTACCCCTCTTATAGCTGGTATCTGTCCTGACCAAAAATAAAAAGAGTGTTTTTACTTTCATGAACCAGGCAGAATGGGCTTATTCATATTTATTTAAGCCCCTTGGGGAAAAGATGCTGTGTAGGGGAGAAAAGTACAGATTCTGCTGTGATTTATCAATCAGCACATCAGCACTTGATTCAGGAGCAGGTCCTACCGGATCCACTCATCAAGCCACAGAAACTAGCGAGAGTGCATCTTGGCAGGAAGAAATCATGGCTAAACACCAATAAAGATTAAAAACAAATTAAAAAGAAAAATATTGGTTTAAGATAGTTTACCTCAGGATGGCTTCCAACTTCAATATAGGTGCAGACTGGATGAAAAGCCCCTGTTCCGCAGGCGTACAAGTGGGTTTGGTTGTAAGCCTTAAGCACCTTGATGAAATTAGCACATTCTCTCTGCAAAGAAAAATGGGAAAAAATGTATCCACAAAGTTAATTCAGTGATTATGACTAATGAGAGCTGTTCTGTGTTGAGGATATATGGCTGAATGAACAGATTTGAAAAGTGTGATCATTTCATGGCTGTTTATAAGCTTGTTTATTGCTAAGCATTTAATAGATATTCTGATTTAGGTTCTCATTTAAATATCTTTGGTTGTCATTTAATAAAGCATCCACCCCTGAAGAAAAGATTGCACACAAAAAAAAAATCACATTTTTTGTTTCAGACATGCTTCATCTTTGTAATTTATGCTATTGCCATGTTTGTAAGACAAAACCCATTTATAGAAATGTGTCAGAATAAAATAATGAAGAAAAATGGACCAACTGTTTGCTTGTATTCAATTAAGTAACAATTAGAAGAAAGATGGGCCAGATGGAAGGAGCTGATGAAAACCAAATCATTGATATAACATTTCTAACAATAATATGAATGCTACCTCACCCCCATTGCCTGTGCTTAGGGACCAGTTTTACAAAGATGAATGTATATGCTAAACTTTAATGAAGTTATTGACAGGCCCTAGAATATAAGCTTTGCAAGACTTGGACTTCACATTTTCTACCTAAAAGTAAATTATCCATCACGAGTAAATCTAGCAAACTAAAAACTCAGCAATTAAAAACTTAATAGCAACGCTATCAGTCCCTAGTACAAACATTATCTGTTACCTCTTAACAAAAATGTCGTTATTAATGCCTAATGGTATTAAAATGGAAATGTCTAACCTGATAGTCAAGATGATGACTTTTTCTGTTTATTTAATATTTCTATTTCAATCAGGTCTAACACTGAAAAGAAACATGTCGATGGCTGTGAATCAGTCTACTGACACAATTACAAATAATGGATTTCAAACGGGAGAAAAATAAGAACATTGAAATAAAATTATTTCCAGTAAAGCTGGTGTTAAAAACAAAGGAAACTTTTCTATGCCTATTTGATGACTTTTTTGGGACAGCACCGAGCCGTACCTCTCCAAGTGGACCAGGGCCCATGGAAACACCACCTGAGCTACCGCCTCCACGGAAGTCTCATTGACTGGCACCATCGGTCTCTGCAACTTGCTTGCTAATTAAACCAGATACTCTCAAACACAAAACAATGGCTCTGCCCGGAAAATGCATGTGCAATTTGAGGCATGCCTTAGGCCACCACAGGGAAAAGCAACAAACTTACGCAGATAAAATACTGATTCCCTGCCTTACACAAAGGACTGTGCTGAAACGACATTGGTATTCCAAATTTTTTTTGTTTATTTGCGTAATAGATAATTGCAACATATTAAAAAAGCACCCAAAGCATACAGAATCTTACTACGTCCTTGCCTTACCGCTGATAAGTTATCTTTCCAACTGAGATGGAAGAGAAAACAGAGAGATAGTTAAGCTAATCCAACAGGAAATTGAAAGAAATAGAGATGGATGTTACCAGGGGTCCTCTCTTAATTCTTTCCATTCTGACCTTTCTTAATAAAAATACACACAATTTCTGGTGCGTACGTATTCTTCCTCCCACACGTGTATAAACATGAACATACATTTATTATATGTATATGTATCCAGACTGCTTTCCACTATCACAGTGGTACAGTACTAAACAAATACCTGGCATAAATCATCAAAATTACAATGTATGTTTTGATAGTGTTCTTAATGCTGTTGTCCTTTGTTCCCTTTAATAAAAGAAACATAGACAAACCATGAAAGTGTATTAATAATTCAATGCCTGCAAGAATAAAAATGGGCAAATACTGCAAATTCATGTAACATTAAAAATGAACAAAATTGAAATAGATCCTTTCTTAAACTCCGATAATCTCTATTTCAGATGGAACATCTGACGACTCTGCATAATTTAAAACTGACCAATGATTTGTGCATTATTAAATAATTCAGAATTTTCTCACTTAGAGTTGTATCTGGCCAAATTTAATCACAGCACTGTTTCAGTAGGACAGTGCTTTGCCTTGCCTGGTTTGATGTATCATGATTTAAAAAAATGTCTTCGTGGTCTACTACTATAGTTTGTTAATTTTTTAAAAAATGGACTGCTTGAAGAACATGAAATGTTAGAGCAAAATGCTGTGACCACAGCCAAGTGGGCTGGACCCACAGGCAGTGTGAATCAAACCAGGTTGAGCTGATTTCAGTGGAGCTGCTCTGATTTACAGCACCGCACCACCTGTGACTCTATATGCATTCACTAAATACTGTTCAACTGCTTATCTATAATATACAGCAAGAAGGTATTAGATAGCTAATACTTGAAAGGTGAGATGGAAAACCCTACTTAGTTTAGGGGCAGAGTTCTCTTTGATTTCTATGGATGGAAACTAAGAAAAATTCTATCATCAGCTTCACTGAATTATCCCAGATTAGCCTGGGGCGGGGGAATTAACTCTATCATAGGCATACTTTAGCTTCAAGTGTTCAGAATTGATAGGAGTGTAACTGTGTTAATATCAGTAAAGTTACTCCAGATTTATAATATATTTCCAAAAGCAGATTTACCTTATTCATCCCTGCTTTTAAGGTCTCCTTAATTCCTTATACAACATTTTTTTTACCATAGAAGTCTGACAAATACACAAGCTAGTTAAACAATGGGGAAGGTAAATACCTACTGCAATAAACCTTTGACTATGACAAATAAATTTATATAACATTGAAAGTTCCTAGTCCAGTTCAGACTGCTCTTATAACTTCCTCGTGTTTTATAGCTGCATAAAGGAACCATTAAGGTCTATTCAGTAAATTCTCATACACCTCCGTAACAGATTAGGTTTCTTTATATATTTTACATGATTGTAAAAAAATAAATAAAGAGGGGTATTAAACCACAATAAATGACATCAAAGTAAAGTTACAGTTCTGATTTAAGCCCTTGTCAACTCAGGAGTTTCAACGTGGAAGTTTCTGCCCTGCCTGGGAGATGGTGCTATTCTCCCTGGAACAATAGCGACAGACACATTGATTTCAATTGCAGGGTAATCAGATTCCTTCCTTTGTCTAACTGTGCTCGAGTACAGCTGCACAGGTACAGCGTGATGCATGGAAATGTTGTACCTTTGCATTTGATATTCTGAACTTTGCAAGAGTTTTCTTTGTGATGGTGAGCATTAGGTTTTCCTAGTTTATGTGGCTCTGGGAAGAAAATGCTTCCCATAAACCTATAACAGCTTTAACAGCTTTGAATGACTCACTCGCACTCCGAATCTCAGCACGTAACGTATGACGAAGAAGATATTCTGATCACGGAAAGTGTGTGTGCATTGAGGCGACCTGAGTCCGCCATGACATGAGACTTGGGTGACGGACTCCCATTTTCCAGCTCTGCTTCCCTATTGCTGCCCTCAGTGCGAGGCTCCTACAATGGCACCTCCGCTTGTGAAACCTGGCAGACAGCTCTGCTGGTCCCCACACCGGCGGCTACGTCAACTCGTCTACAAAGCCAGTCCCCGGCCCCCTTGGCTGGAGGCCTGGAATGATTTGGGTGTCTCCAGCTGGGCTTGTCCCACTTGGCAGCAGCGTCTGCCCTTGCCAGACCCCCAGGCCAGCGCTGCATTGTCAGCGTGAAGGTCTGCGCCAGCAGAACCAGGCATTTCGCTACATGATCTCAGAGCGTAAGGCACTGGAAAGGAGACAAAGACAACAAAAGAAATGTAGTATCTCGGTAAAATACAGCAGACAGGAGAAAATATCCGCCGGAGGAAGAGGAAGTAACCCAGAGACAGACGCCGTGAGGAGCAAATTGTCAGGGAATTTAAACACCGTGTCTGCATGTGAGTTAGCCCCCTGGTACCTCTGCATCCATTTGCACTTTCCCTGGGAAAGGGATGTTGTTTAAAGGTAATATATTCTGGTCTTATCCATACCCTTTGAATATTGTTCTTCATCAAGTGAAACAGTTGAAAGAAGAAAATTGGACATAAAAGTTCTTTTCCAGGTGGAAATCAGTTGTGGGGTTTTTTTGTTGGTCTTTTTTTTTTTTTTTTTTTCATTTGTAAAAGCAGGGTGGACTGGGAGTTTAAAACCCTTTTAGCCTAAAGTGAATGAAAATGAATGCGCGGTTTGCAAAGTTCACCATAGGCAGGAAAGCATTACTTGAATGGGTTATGAAAATAAATCTTAAGGAAGAGGAGCACCAGAATCACCATAGTGAATCATTACAAATTCTTCAACCTAATAATCCTGGTTATTATAATGGGCAGCTTAATAATAGGAAACTTTCCTTGTCTATATAAAGCTAAACATTGGGTTATGCCCTAAAGCTTCAGTTTACATACAAACATACAGCAGAAAGCATAAGTGATTGCATATGGTACAGAATGATTAGGGTAGATATTCAAAAAGAAAATTAAGTACATCATGTGGGAGTTACTGCAGTCCTCAAAATCCCCGTTCATTTATCTTGTCTACCCCTGGAGAGGATTAATCTTCATTTATATTTCAATAAACTGTATAAGGTTTCCCCAAGAGCTGTAGGTTCTGCCTTTGGCCTTGAACAGAAGTACCTCTGCCTTAAAATCCAAGTAGCCAAGCCCCTACATCATGTCTGAGACCTTTTAGCATAGCCTGTGAGGTTTGTCTTTCTCTGTCCTGACAGAGGCAACTTCTGCAGATAGCTACTTTTCTATGTTTTCACAGTGTAACTGCTGGATTTGCCTCTGCAAACAGTCCTGTGATGGCACGATTGCCAATATCCTCCAAGCACGGCCAAAGAAATGGTTGGTGCCCTGGCCTGGCTCTGCCATGTGCGGTGGCTGAAGCAACCACCCCAAACACGGGCCACCGTCCAGTTTGTTTCTCTGCTTGAAGGAATACAGATCGTACCCCTCAGCAAAGTCCAAGCAGATGCTAGGCTTTCCTGGGGTTAGTTTGGCATATAAAGGCACAAGGACATCCAACTGAAGCCATTCTACCTTGTGTACAGGAGTTAAAGGTTCATTTGG